TAAATACCCAAGACATTACAAGATCTGCTCCCACAGTTTGATTTCAATAATATTTATATAAAATAATAAAAGATATATATCAATATTTATAAAAACAATAAAATAAAAAATAAAAATTATATACCTCTCACCATCAATAAATGACACCTTATCTTTTTTAGAGCAAACTATACCAATTAACATTTACACTTTCTCATCTTGTAAAAGATAAAAATTAAAAAAAAAATTCAACAATAATAATCTTTGTCCAACCATACATACACTATGTCGATCTTATTTTTTAATTTTTTTTTTTAAAAAAAAAGTTTTTAAGATTGAAGAATACAAACAGAAAAAACTGAAAAGATAGTCAAAGTACCATCAAAGAGTAAGTGTTTATCATTAAATAGTGGTTGTTATCACTGTATTACAACTTGTGCCCCTCTAGTTATTAAATAATAATGGTTTTTTTCTGGCCAATGATTTTTGCAAAACACCATATATATTTAACAGATTAACAAAACTTTGGCTCTACATTTACTTAGTCAAGATACATCACCATATTCATCAGGATCTCTATACAATCCATCACCATTGTCATCAAACGATGATTATGATTATCATACAAAGAAGAAAAAATCCCATCTTGATTATTTCATTGGACAAGGTGTAATAGATTGTGAATTAAATGATGACGCCATTATAGTAAATATTATGTATTTGTATAGTATACATTGTTTTTTATTAATTATCCCTTTTTTAATTGCATCTCTCCTTTTCTAAAACAGTGGAAATTTGAAGAGGTTGATATGTCAAGATTTGCTTGGAATACTGAAAACAATCAATATCTTTGGCATTATCATTAATTCTGGAACCAGATGAAGAACTGTATGTATCATGTTTATTTCTAAATTTACATATTTGTACTATTAATCACCAAGAGCTTTCATTTATAGGTCATTAAGTTATATATTTTTATTCAAACAAGAAAAATATAATGGTATCCATGAACTTTGTGACACACCATTATGGAAGTCAATTTTCAGTAAAATCCACAAACAATATTTAAATATCACAATTCCTGATTCAGTGTTTAATATTTATCATGAAGTTATTAAGGTAATTGTTATTCTTTCAAAATTTCATCTGATTTTATTGACTACCTACCAATCACCTTTTTTTTAGATCACATGTAAAGAGCATGATCCTACAGAACTTAAGCAAACTGTAAAAACTTTTTAAGTGAATTGCGACCTTGATGAAATTATAATTTCAATTTTTTATAATTTGTAAGTTTCATAAATATTTATTTACATTTGTACAGAACTCTATGTTAAATAAACATCCTAACACAAGTATTAAACACTATGCAGGTCAAACAATTCTTATTCCATATCAAGTGATAACATTGAAGATACTCATATTATAAACTATGTAGTGCCTGTTAGTGTTCCATGTCGCAATCCAAAAAAGGAAACCAAAGTGGTTGCAAAGATGGTTGCAACCAGGTGTCACAAACCATTTTTATATGTCGCAAATATGGTTGCAACCATCACCAAGAATTGCGACCAGCATCTATAGTGCCTGTAATTAAACCTTTCTTTCAGGATGGTGAAAACTTCTTTGTTAATTGGTTAGTATTTATCATATCTATGGTATGTATTATATTGATACATGTTTGCTTATTTTCAAATTGCATTTAACAGGCCAAATAAAGTGTCAATTTCTTTGGCACAAACTGAAAAATCTTTTGATCCTATTCTGTATGGATCAAAGCCTGAAATATTGATTGAAACTATTAATTGAAGAAATCATATTGAATTGTTAATGGGTGAAGTCAAGCCACCTTTCACTAGCACCAAATTAGTTAAATGAAGATTTAGTTTCTTTAGGAAGGCAGCAATTGACAAATCAATAAGGGATGGTGCAGAAAATATTGTAGTTTGTGGTTTACATATCACAAGTGAGTTCATAATGTGTGGACAATTTTTATATGTAATTTAGCCTTGACATTTCAATATACTTGCTTTTCATTATTTTCATTCTAATCTGTATTTATACATTAAGGATTTTGATGCAAAGCATATATTATGGATCTTCATTATGATGGAATCTACTGTATGATTCTAATTGGTTCATTTTATCTTCTGGAACTTGGTGCAATGTTATTAATAGGGTTTGTATTCATGAATATCATAAGGGGGTCACACAGGGTCACACACTATTAAAATCAAGTGATCAACTCATGTTTTTAAGGGATTTTTTGCTGTTTTAATAGTGTGTAACCCCTTAATGATATTCATGATATTCATGAATAAAAACTCTAGTTATTAACTGCATTCGGGTATAAGCTACAGTGCAAGTAGGCTATGTTTAGAATCAAGTTAGTGTTTCAGCTGGATTATACCAACCAATATCTAGAAGATCTGAAATTCAAATAACAAAAAAACAACAAATGATCAGAGCAGTGTTTCTTTCACCTATCAACAAAAAAGAGACAAAAAGAATTCATACAAAATATTAAGTATATAGCTTTGTTTTTTTGAATACACATGATGATAATATTATTATAGATATGCAAAAAAATTTTAAATTTCAATATTTGGTGCAATAATTTATACCTAAAAAGATAAAGAAATAGTCATGACAAGACTTGTATTTTTTCTTCTTGCAATAACTAATCAACAAAATAATCCTAAGTTTCTTATACTATTAACAAATTAATTGGAGTGACAAATGCTTGTAATTAACATCACCATAATCATTCATGTTAATATTTTTTATATATTAAATATACATTATTGTTATTCGCACCCCTCCTGTGACTAAGACAAAGATGAACCAATAAAATCACCACATTTTAAAGGCATTCATTGGTCACATTACTACACTTAGTCACGGGAGGGGTGCGAATAACAATTCCCTAAATATATTATAATTTTAGTAAAAATCTGTGCCAGTTTCAATTAAATTGCAGTCAGGATTATTACCAAATATGGAATTTCCAAATACTGTAAAGATAGACAATCTAGAAATCTTTTAGAAAAAAAAACAAAAATGATTGGCTAATTTTATGTAGATCTTTGATAAATAAAATAAATTAAAAATAATGCTTTTTTATGAAGAAAACGTGGTGAAGGCTTTATTAAATGGTCATATAACCT